ATATATATTTGTACCAGGAATTGAACTCACAACCTTGTGCTTGCCAGATGGGTGCTGCGCCACTGAGCTATATCCCTGGCCCACATCTTAATTCTGATTATTTCCCCTTTGTCTTCTGTCCTGTCTCCCTTCTTCCTCCTTCCCTAGATCTCCTTCTTATCACCAAAAGGTCTACCTCCTTGTTTCCTATCATTTATCTTTTATTTTGCTCTTGAAATTATTTATATTTTGAGTCTCTACTATAGGGGAAACCATGTCATATTCAACCTTCTGTGTCTGATTTCACTCAGAATTGTGGTATGGAGGTGCATCCATTTTCTTACATGAATAAATCACCCTTTTTAAGGTGGGGCAGCGCACCATTTCGTGTATACACATTTTCTTTATTCATTCATCTGTTGATGGGCATATAAACTATTTCCATGATTTAGCTATTGTGGGTTGTGTTGCTATAAACATAAGTATGCATGGATCACTGTAATATGATGTCTTTAACTCTTTTGGGAAGATATCCAGATGTGTATAGCTGGGTCAAACACAATTTCTGTTTTATTTTTTGAAAAATCTCTACACTGATTTCCAGAGGTATAGTAGTAGTTTACATGCCAAGAACAATGTACAAGGGTTTCTTTTTTCCCATAGCTTCATCAGTATTTTTTGGTTTTGATTTCTTGGTGACAGTGCATTCTTTCTAGAGTAATGGAATAACAGCATTGTTTTGATTTGCATTTTTTTTTTTCAGTTCCAGGAATAGAACTCAGGACCTTCCGCTTGCTAGGCAGGTGCTTGTGCCTGCTAAGCTGTATCCCCAGCCCTGATTTGTATTTCTTTGACGGGCAAATATACCAAACATTTTCTCATGTCTTTATTGGCCATTTTTACTACTTCTTTTGACAAATATCATTCATTTCAATTGCCCACTTTTTGGGCGGGTCTTTTATTATAAGAAGTCTAGTATTTTGGAGTTTTTTAAAATTACATATTCCAGCTGGGGATTTAGCTCAGTGGCAAAAGCGCCTGCCTGGCATGCGCAAGGTCGTGAGTTCGGTTCCCGGTACCGGAAAAAAACAAAAAAAAAAAAAAAATAATAAAAATAAAATAAAATAAAATAAAATAAAATTACATATTCCAAATATTATTCTTCTGCCTAAAGAGTAGCTAGCAGATTTTTTTTCTCACTCTGTAGGTGTCTCTGTGTTGGTTGGTTCCTTTTTGTACTGAAGCTTTTAAATTTGATATAATTCCATTGGTTGATTCTTTGTTGTTTTTTATGCCTGTGCCTGTGACTACGTCCTTGAGGGTTTTGCCTTTTTCACCTTCCAGCAGATCGTTTTTGTTTCTATATTTATTCCTTTGATCTATTTTTATTGTATTATTTTATTTTAGTTTATTACAGGATGGGAAATATGGTTTTCCCTGTACCATTTTTTGGCTATATTTCTCTCAGTGTCTTTTTGGCCCCTTTGTCTAAGATCAAATAGCTGAAGGTGCCTGTGATAGTTTTATATGCCCTGTTCTGTTCCACTGATATCCACATCTGTTTTTGTGACAGTACCATGCTCCTTTTATCACTGTAGATTTGTGTTATATCTTAAAAGCCATTGTGATGCTTCCTGCTTTGCTCTTGTTGCCCCCGATTGCTTCTGTTGTTCTGAGTCTCTTCTGGTTCCACATAAATTTTAGGATTGCTTTTTCTAGTTCTATGAAGGATACTGTTGGTGTTTTGACCAGGATTGCCTGAAATATGGGTGTCAAGTATGGTAGTAGGGCCATTTGACAATATTGATTCTGCCTATCCAAGAACAGGAGATATCTTTTCATTTTCTGATGTCCTTTTTGATCTCTTTTAAAGATTACTATTGTTTTTGTTATAAGAGGTCTTTCACTTCCTTGGCTAGGTTAATTCCTAGGTATTTAATGTTTTTAAAGCTAATGTGAATGGGATTGTTTTCTTAATTTCTTCTTAGTGGGTTCATTGCTGCTGTATGAAACTTGTTGATTTTTGTGTGTTTATTTTGCATCCTGCATAGTAACTCTCGAAAGTTCTTTTTTTCCCTAACTACCATGTTATTATGGTTCCCAAATGAACACAATTTTCAAAGCTTGCTTTCCATGAAATCCTTTTTCCAATTCTTACTCTTGATGAGTTGCTACTCTTGAACTGATGAAAAGCATTAACGCTGAGTCTGGGTGTTATAATTTCTGCACAACAGTTCTATAGTGGAAACTCTCTTCAGTAATGTTAGGGAGTGGCGGGTCAACAAGGCAGAAAAGACTGTGGTGTTCCTCAAGAGTGTTAATATTTTTGTTTAACACCGGTAAATCCTGTGGCATTAGAATGCTATTATACTGCTGGTACCATGTCACCCATCGCCTCCCCAAATAACCATAAGTTGTACTTTCCAAATCGAATAGCCTAACTCCATAGCTACCATGTGGCGGATTCTGCTAAAGCTGAAGATCATTCATGATCTAATTAAAGTGGGTCTGTTCAATGTGACTTTCATCTTTTTCCCCTCATCTACACTGGCTGTTTTGCATATAAATAAATGTACTTAAGGCTTAGTACATTTTTCATGACTAATGTATCTTCTGAGGTTTAAGTAGTACTAGGAAGTGAAAGTAAACAAAATGCCTCATTTTCTCATAAATTTTATGTGTGTGTGTGTGTGTGTGTGATAACTTTTCTTGAGTTTGCATAAATTAGCTACATGGTACTAGGTTGTTTGTATAGCAGCTGTTATTTTGCCACCCCAAACCTTCTCCCTCCTTTGTCTTTTTTTGGTAACTTCTTAATATTAAATTCTCATTACCATTGACTTTGCATATTAAGTATTGTCATCCTCCTATCTCTACCTCAGACAATCTCCATCTGTAGGTTCTCCCTGTCTGTGAGCAGATTCAACCACACATGAATTGAAAATGTTATGTAGTCTCTGACAAATACAAGAGTTAGACCTACAATGGATCTGGGTGTCATCAATGACAACAACTATTTACATAGCATTTACATTGTGATATGTAATATACAGGTTCAAAGTATATGAGAACAGATGCATAGGGTAGGTACAAATATTATGCCGTTTCATATAAGGACTTGAGCATCTTTGGATTTTGCTGTGATGTCCTATAACCCATTCTCTGTAGATATCAAAAGCTGTCTATAGTGGTTCAACCAATCCAACTGACCTTAGTTTACTGTGTTTGAAAGTCTGAGGATTAGGGTACTTTAGGACAGGGAGAGATGGGTATTGAGCTCCAAAGTCATTGACCCCTTTATATAAAGATTCATTTTGCCCTTTGTATTTTTTTCTTTTCTAGGAAAAAGAGCAGCCAGTCCCACTGGGAAACTGGAATATGGTAAGTCATAGGGGGAGCAATGAGTCAGTCTAAGAACCTTGCACATTAGTCTACCCATTAGAAACACACAGTTCTTTCAAGATCTAGGAACTCCCAAATATTTAGTTAGTAAAGAATGATTGCTCATGAGTCTTGAGGAATCCTTTTATCAAGCAGCTGGTTTATCCTTCTTGAAGGGATTTTCACATCTGGAGTTGTGAAAGACCAGCCAGGAAGAACATCATATAGCCACTGGTGTTTTATGATCCCCCTTCACTCAATAGCTCTTTTATTTTTTAAACTTTTATCTCAGATTCGGATCATGACACAGGCACGTCTTGCTCCAATCTCTTTCTGGTAAAGGACTCCACTGTTAGGCCTTCCCAACACTGAGTACTTCACTCTGTCCTCTTGTTTGTCCAGCTCTTTCCATGGCTGGTCCTGTGTAACGTAAGCCCACTACTCACACTGTGGTCTGAAACTCAGCAGTCTGCTCAGTGCCTGGGAGTTAGAAATGAGACACTCTAGAACTGTCCCAGACTTGCTGAAGCAGAGCCTGCGTTTTCATGAGGTTCTCAGGTGACTCATGTGCAAATCTAGGTCTGAGCAGCACTAGCTTCTAGAGTTCTGCAGCCTTCTGCACTCATACTGCCCCTGAGATACACAAATATGGACTTTTATGACCTGACAGCCAACATTACTTGGATTCCTGATCCTCAGCTAAAAAGATGATCATACATGTGGTGAGAGTATTAAAAATTTAATAGCAATGTTGAAGTATACATTATTATAAACATTAGGGACCGAGGTGAGGTACTGGACATTAATTAACTTGACTTAGTAGTTCACAGTGAGCTGGAAGATAACACTTCACACTATCTCCTAGTGTGGTGATGCACGCCTATAATCCCAGCACTCTTGGGGTTGAGGCAGGAGGATTGCAAGTTTGAGCGTTCCCTTGGCAACTTAGTAATTTACTGAGAACGTGTCTTAAAATAACCAGTACAGGGAATATAACCCAATATCACAAACTTCACATTGTACCCCATAAAAATGCACGATTATCATTTTATCAATTAAAGAGTTAAAAAGTATTATTGTATGTGCATTTAATTGCCTCTGTATTAAAACTCCCTTTATTGGCTCTTTTTAACTTTAATTTTGCCTTTCTAAATTCAATTGTTTTTTCTTACACTTAGAATTTACAGTGTTAAAATTCTTTCAAACAAATTTTATACTTTGATAGAATATGATCCTGCAAGGTTGAAAAGTAGGCAATATAATTGTTGGAGAGGCTATTTTGTGAATTTCCATTCATAATTTTCTAACCTTGGGGTTGAGATCAAAAGAACTGAAATATGCCTTGGAAAAAAAGGAGAACCAAACTCTTTTTGAACCATTAGAAATCAATGAATTATTCTGCTTCAAAATGTAACATGAATCAAAATAAGCTTTCATTGCTCAGTATGATCTGAGTCATTTTTATCCATAAATCTTTCCTTCTCCATAAGGATGAAATAATTAGGCCCATAATAAACTCTTCATCTTTCTGACAAAGAGTTTGAGACAAATGATACACGGAGAAAGAAGCACTCTGCTTCTGGAATGACATAGTCTAAGAAGAGAAAGACCATGGAGTGCTGCTTGTGCTTTGACAGGAGTCAAAGAAAGAAGAAAAGTCCAACATAGGATACTTCCTGAGAGCTTGTGGAATTCCCGTTCTCCCAGAGAAGTACAAATGGGGGAACTCCATGGAATCATGGCTGAGTCATGTTGTTTATACATCCCTGACAAGTGGGTCTCTACTGGGAAAACTTTCCCAGATTCTAAGTGTGTTCCCTTCCCTTTTGGGGATCTTTGGATCAACAGTCTGGGATCTGGGTTGTGGAAATGGTGCCATCTTCGTTTTTCTTTTTTGAACCACTTCCTCAATATTTTGACTTCTTTTAAAGAGTTTAACTGTGTTGACAAGATGAGTGAGGTTAAGAAAATTGATGTATTTTGAAGTCAGCTCTTTTAAAACCTTTAATAGCCTCCTCTTCCAAAGAGGAGGAATACCAGAGTATTAATTTTCATTTGTGACAACTCAACGTTTGGCCCCATCCTTTCTCAGGCTGCCATTTCCAGGGTCTTGATCTTGCAGTTAGTTCGTGTCCTTCTGACACAATTTTGATCTTCATATAAGAACATGACTTAATACCAACACTTGAATTAAGGAAACAAAATCTCCATGAACTCCCCCATTATCCTCCAAATACCACCCCATATCTTTAAAGAACTGGTTATAGGCATGACTTTATTTTCTTCTCTCTTGTTCTGTCATTGATCAATGCCAGCTGGTATAGTATTTTGTCTGCAGTACTTCACGAGACAGCTTTTTATCCAAGTTTTCAAAGATCTGTATTTGGCTCCTCTAATGAAGAATTCTCCTCACCTTAGTGTTTCAAAGCAATGAATCCAGTCAGTCACTCCTGTTTTGAACACACCTCTTCTGCTTCCATGCTGCCCACACTGTCCTGGTTTTTCTTATGCCTCTCTGATGTCTCCTCCTCCACCTTATTTCTGAAGTGCACAGTTTGATTGCTGAAGAGCCCTTGGGATGAATTTTCTCATCCTGACTTTCCTAGGTGATTTCTTCTGGCTCCATATGTTTAATACTGTGAATATGGTGTGAATTCCTGTATTTCCGTCTCCTGCCTGGTTGTTCTGTCTTGCTCCAGGCTTTTTAAGTCAACTTTGTAAAACCTGGTTTTGTGCCTGTCTTCCTTTCTCCAAAACAAATGCCGTGCGTCACCGTCTCTACTGCATGACTTCATTCCAGCCACCGCCCTTTTCCTTTTGGACGCCTACCGTGGCCTCCTGCCTGGTGTCTGTGCCGCAGCCATTGCCCTGGCCTGCTCTGTTCACAGCAGCAGCTAGTGTTCTTGAAATCAGTAAGCGATCTGAGTAAACAACCGACTGCTGATTAGAACCTCAGAGCACAAACACCAGCGATTTCTTATGCCTTTGTTCATAATCAATATTTATTCCATTTACTAATTTAATCAGTGTTAATTTGTTTAGTACTTAAATATCAGAATCCCAATAGCAAATTTAGCCTATTAGACAGAAGAATGCTGTCATATATATTGCCTAACTTGACCTCCACAATTTGACTCTGAAATTTTGACTCAATTTAAATATAAAGACATTATAAGTCTGCTTATAAGTAACAATATTTAATTCAGATTTATGCCACAATGAATGAATTTGGATCAGTAAAGAGTACTTGGGGTCTTTTGGAATAAAATCTTAGTTCACTTGACTCCTTAGTTTTTAATATAGCAGGGTTAAACTATTTATGACTTTACTTTGAAGATATCAATATATAAAACTATTTATGACTTTAACCTTTTATTCTACTATGCTACTATGCTTATTTTAATTGGATTAAAGGGTTTACTACCACAGTATTAAAGCTTTGATATGTTATGTTTAACCTACATCACTTTATCACCTATAGCTCTTTTACTGATTATTTTTTGGTCCTATTTTTCAATATTACAGTTTTCTAATGTCAAACTTTGTAAAAAGATACTATTTTATCAACTGACTCATAGATACTACTGTAAGAAGTTATAGCTGGTGTCAGTTATATTTTTCTTTAATTATTTCTCAAATTTTAATTTCTCCCATGTGAAATTGTGCTGGTTTTTGAGTTACCAAGAAGTTATTCTTGCACCTCTTTTGAGTATTTCTCAACTTGCTTCAAAAAACTTATATTCTTAGAATTCCTGTTTCATTTTCTCATGATACTATTTACTGAATCTAATTTGATTTGGATTACATTTTATTTTCTGTTGAATGTCCTCACTGCTAAAATTCCAGGGTCAAAATATTCTCCTAGTTTTAATTTTTAATTTTTTCCCTCTCAGTCATGATATCAGTGTTACCTAGAGTTGTGACCATTGAAAATCATTGCTTCAATGGATGGAACAACACATGGAAATTGAGAAGGCCTAGAGGCAGCTCCAAGATCAAACATAAATTTAAGGGAAAAGACATTTCTTTAGGGAAAATATGTTATGTAAATTTGCCCTGTGATTCACTGGGCACGAGCTCTTTCCTACCTTTGAGCTTTTATATCCCATGGCAACCCAATCTGGTGTCCTCTCTCAAGCAGGATGGACTGTCTGCTGGCACAAAATATTGCAATAACTTTTTTCTCATCTGTGTGAAAAAAAAGAGCCTTTAGAAGACTGAATGAATTATAATATATAATTTTCTTACAGCATGCTCCTTCATTTTAGTTTGGTTTAAGTTACTTCATTTTAGTTTGGTTTAAGTTACTCAAATAATTTGAGTATATATTTATATAATTGAGTATTTGAATATATTTGACCTTGAAATAGTTTGGGCTATCTACCTATCTTCAAAATTACTAAAAACAGATAAGGTGGCTACACTGGAATGGATTTGATTTGAATCCCCAAATACCTTTCGTATTTTAATTTTCTTGAGCCGCAGGAAAGCTGAATGTTACTCACTGTAGGAGGCTACCTGGGTCTCTGGGTGTGCTGAAATGAGGACAAGCACAATAGTAAAATAGTTACCAAAGTTAAAAAGTTATCAATGGCAAAATAGCTATCAAATGCAATTGGACACTATTTCTTCTTGCCGGTTTGCAAGCACTAACTCATATAATCTACACAGCAACTTTTTGAGGCTCTGTTTTACCTATTTTTAGGTGACAAAACGGAGGCATAAGGAGGTCAAATAACTTAGTTAAGCACAGTAGTGATCTGTCATAAACTGCACTGTTTTAAGATCGATTTTATTCCTTATTTTTAATATAAAAAGAACTTTGATTCTCTGCCTTAGGACTTGGGGTCGAACCTGCAGTTTTCCGTACGTCTCCTTGCTGCACACAGATAGATGGAAAATGTGTGAGGTATTTGACTACAGCTGGATTCAGCTTCTTGCCGTGTGTGGCTACCAAGCCCAACAGGAAATCAAAAGTGATTTCTCCCTATCAGACGGAG